AAAAAAAAAAAAAAAAGATTAAAACAGAGCTAGTGAGAAGTCCCAAAGTCTATGTGAGTTTGTAGCATGGTAATGAGAAAAGATTTAGGGAAAAGAACCCCAAAAAACAAGCCAATCTATTAATGAAAAGGTCCACTCAGTGAATATTGGACAGACTCCCCCAGAGCTTCCTGCTGTGCTGGCTAGAACTTTCCAGGGGGTTAGGAATTTCCACAAGGCCTTGGAAAGGAGAGAATGAGCCCCATCCTACAGAAGAGAATAATATAGAAAGTGCCCTTAACCTCAAGCCAGTTGGCACTCACAGTGCAGTCCCTGCTGGAGTCAGAGAATTTTATCTTCAAGTGCAAGAGACCCAAGGAGGAGTCAAAGATTAGATGCTAAAGCCAGCAAGGGAAATTATCAAGATGCCAGCACATCTAGCATGATGGGAAAGGCTGAAACTTGGAGCGCGTGATTATTTCTGTAGTGGGAGAAGACAGAAAAATCATCAAGAAAGTTTAATGTTTACGTGGGCGAAGGGCCATTTAAATTCTGATCAGTGTAAAGTAAATATGCAGGTTCACTGACTCTCAATGACCCTAGCAACTTACCTGATTCTCTAGCAACAACCCAGCTGCCCTGGCAGTGGACAGGGCCATAGCCCTTATCTTTATTTCTGGCATCCCTCTACCTCCAGAAATGCTGTCTTTGGGCGTTTCTCGGCTGACCTGAAGAACCACCCTCTTAACTTGACTCTGTTCCACTCCTGCATTGGCTCTAGCCTCCCATCCCTGTCTTTGAACTCTGTACTGTTTCTAATTGTGCTCAGCACAAAGCCTAACTTGTAACAGGCCCCAATAAATGTTAGTCTTGTCTCTGTTAGATCTCTGGCAGGTTACATTGTTTGGGCTTTGGTTTTCCACTGGTCCTCTGGCCTCTGCTGCCCTCTGGTGACAGCATGCGGCTCTGCCCCCTTATGACTGGAAATCAGATGTCTGTGATTGTAAAATTCCATCACTTTTCCACCTTACCTGTTCTCTTAACTTACTGTTTTGTCTCATCTATTGTTTTTTTTGTTTTTTGTTTTTTGTTTTTTTTGCGGTACGCAGCCGGACCGGGTCACGAACCCGTGTCCCCTGCATCGGCAGGCGGACTCTCAACCACTGCGCCATCAGGGAAGCCCTCATCTACTGTTTTTGAGAGGAAGATGGAACTATACATATGAACTTTCCAGTTCTAACTTTCTATAAAGATATGATGGTTGCAAAAAAAGATGGAGATTTCTTTACAGTGAGGTAATAACAGCACAATGAAGAACTGTTACCTATTAAGAATGCTACGGGGTGAATGTGAAATTTGGAAAATGCCAAGAGTCTCATCTGCACTCCATCCCAGACACCTTATTAGCTTATAGTGGGGGAGGGGGAAGAGGGAGCGATAAGAAAAAGAAGAAAAAATATCATTTTGGCAAAAGCATAAAGGTAGGGGCTGTCTTCATTTAGGTTCCCTAAAAAGCAAACCTTAAAACAAGAACATGG